TATGTATTTGAACTGATTCTGTTGTAAAAGTGAATTTCATGCAGCAAACCACTTGAAACGCTTAAAACAGGCCAGAAACATCATGAATTGCATACTGGCATCCAACAACTGTGATTCTATGTATTTGAACTGATTCTGTTGTAAAAGTGAAATTCATGCAGCAAACCACTTGAAACGCTTAAAACAGGCCAGAAACATCATGAATTGCATACTGGCATCCAACAACTGTGATTCTATGTATTTGAACTGATTCTGTTGTAAAAGTGAAATTCATGCAGCAAACCACCTGAAACGCTTAAAACAGGCCAGAAACATCATGAATTGCATACTGGCATCCAACAACTGTGATTCTATGTATTTGAACTGATTCTGTTGTAAAAGTGATTTTCATGCAGCAAACCACTTGAAAAATGTACTAAAAATCAACAGACTTTTCCCCCAGATTTGATGGGTGTAGTAGCTCCCATTTAATGATAGCTAGCTACTACAGCCAAACTTTTGGGAAAAATATGGTTTTCCCCTTCACAGTAACAAAAATGAAATTGGAAAAATGTACTAAAAATCAACAAAGACTTTTCCCCCAGATTTGATGGGTGTAGTAGCTCCCATTCAATGATAGCTAGCTACTACAGCCAAACTTTTGGGAAAAATATGGTTTTCCCCTTCACAGTAACAAAAATGAAATTGGAAAAATTTACTAAAAATCAACACAGACAGTTTTCCCAGTTTTGATGGGTGTAGTAGCTCCCAATGAACAATAGCTAGCTACTACAGGCAAGAATTTGGGAAAAATATTGTTTTCCCCTTCACAGTAACGAAACTGATACTGGAAAAATGTACTAAAAATCAACAGACTTTTCCCCCAGATTAGTAGCTAGCTATTGCTCAAATGGAGCTACTACACCCATCAAAACTGGGAAAAATGTCTTTGTTGATTTTTAGTGAATTTTTCCAATTTCATTTTTGTTACTGTGAAGGGGAAAACCATATTTTTCCCAAATTCTTGCCTGTAGTAGCTAGCTATTGCTCAAATGGAGCTACTACACCCATCAAATCTGGGAAAAATGTCTTTGTTAATTTTTAGTGAATTTTTCCAATTTCATTTTTGTTACTGTGAAGGGGAAAACCATATTTTTCCCAAATTCTTGCCTGTAGTAGCTAGCTATCATTGAATGGGAGCTACTACACCCATCAAATCTGGGGAAAAAATCTTTGTTGATTTTTAGTAAATTTTTCCAATTTCATTTTTGTTACTGTGAAGGGGAAAACCATATTTTTCCCAAATTCTTGCCTGTAGTAGCTAGCTATTGCTCAAATGGAGCTACTACACCCATCAAAACTGGGGGAAAAATCTTTGTTGATTTTTAGTGAATTTTTCCAATTTCATTTTTGTTACTGTGAAGGGGAAAACCATATTTTTCCCAAATTCTTGCCTGTAGTAGCTAGCTATCATTGAATGGGAGCTACTACACCCATCAAATCTGGGGAAAAAATCTTTGTTGATTTTTAGTAAATTTTTCCAATTTCATTTTTGTTACTGTGAAGGGGAAAACCATATTTTTCCCAAATTCTTGCCTGTAGTAGCTAGCTATTGCTCAAATGGAGCTACTACACCCATCAAAACTGGGGGAAAAATCTTTGTTGATTTTTAGTGAATTTTTCCAATTTCATTTTTGTTACTGTGAAGGGGAAAACCATATTTTTCCCAAATTCTTGCCTGTAGTAGCTAGCTATCATTGAATGGGAGCTACTACACCCATCAAATCTGGGGAAAAAAATCTTTGTTGATTTTTAGTAAATTTTTCCAATTTCATTTTTGTTACTGTGAAGGGGAAAACCATATTTTTCCCAAATTCTTGCCTGTAGTAGCTAGCTATTGCTCAAATGGAGCTACTACACCCATCAAATCTGGGAAAAATGTCTTTGTTAATTTTTAGTGAATTTTTCCAATTTCATTTTTGTTACTGTGAAGGGGAAAACCATATTTTTCCCAAATTCTTGCCTGTAGTAGCTAGCTATCATTGAATGGGAGCTACTACACCCATCAAATCTGGGGAAAAAATCTTTGTTGATTTTTAGTAAATTTTTCCAATTTCATTTTTGTTACTGTGAAGGGAAAACCATATTTTTCCCAAATTCTTGCCTGTAGTAGCTAGCTATTGTTCAAATGGAGCTATTACACCCATCAAAACTGGGAAAAACTACTTTTTAAAAGCAGTTTTTATTGTATTCACCAACCCATCTGCAACGTTCTGTCAAATCTTGCACTTTGCAGACGGTCCCTTGCTGAGAGCTTATCACACGTACGAGCGGAGACTTCATCTTCATTGTTTTTCGTGTTATAAATCGTCAGCTGCAGCCTAAGTAAAGTTTTTTTTATATAGGTGGCAACATTGTGAACAGTATTTAATACTACACTCTTCACTAAACTGAAAATACGGACAGACTTTGAATCCAGGGGGATTTTGTTCGAATATCAGGCGAATATCAAACGTTCGGCTAACTTCACCTCGGTGAAATGTCAATGTTTTTCTTGAAATCAAAACATTGTGCAGTGCAGTACACAGAGGGGGGTGCTTTGCGCGACCGCCATGTTGTGTGTCAAGCTTAGTTCGCGCAGATCATTTGTCACTATGTCATCTAAAACCACAAAATCGTGCGACTCACACCTTATGGTGCTTACAGACCGGAAACGCTGAAGCCCCGCTCACCAGACGCGCATTCTCTAGTTTTCAGACGCACGGGTCTTTACACCGCACCGGAAGTAGCCGGCCGGCTCTGATGCTAACAGTTTAGCTAGCGGCTTCTTGTGTAGAGATCTTCTCCAATATGCACAGCACACCTCGCACAGCACACCTCGCACAGCACACACACACCACTGCTCAGCCGGATGTATTGTAAATGTTACACACCAACATGATAATGACAAAAATTGACTCCTACAGTACTAAAAGAATCGGCTCGACTCAACCCAGTTTGCGGGCATTTCCACCGGCTCGCATTAGCTGCTACACGGTACCTTTTTAGTAACTGCTTGGACAGGTTCTGTCTTTCGGTTTATTTAAGTTTGAATTATTTAGGTTCCTTGAAACTCCTTGTTTATGTCACTGATGTTCTGTATTCTGTATGTGTCATTATTGTTAATAGTTTTACTTTGTCCTTTTATAAATGTTTAATTTTAGCAGAGGGAGGAGTTGGGTGCGAAGGAGCATTTGTTTCATATTTTTTTGTTTTTGTTTAATTAACTACTCATATTTAATTCGCTGTAAATTGTTATTGTGTATGTGTGTTTGTTTATATGTTTGTAATTATGTTTAGGACCCCCTCGAAAATGAGATGATTCATCTCAAGGGATTTTCCTTAATAAACTGTGCGGCAATGTATCAGTAAACTCCGGGCCAACTCACGCCGCGCGCGTGCACATACACACACACACATTTCCCCCCCCCCCCCTCCATTGATACGTAACATCCACACGCATCATCTCTCCCCTCTGTCACCGCCTGCTAGTTGCACACTGGTGCAGGTCAGAACTACATTGGAGCTTATATTTACACACACATATAGAGCTGGGCAATAAATCGAATTTAGGCAATTAATCGGCTTTTGAAAAAATCGAATTAGTGAAAAATGTGAAATCGAATGAAGGAAATTGTGAGAGTTCCAGCAACACATGAATTATACTTGCAATATCAGCAAAGTCTGTACTAGACTTTTATAATGCGTATTGGGGGAAACAAATTAAAAATAGTTTTGAAACTTGAATATTTAGCGTAAAGATCAAAACATATTTTTAAGGGCAAAGTTTGTCTTGAGTGACTTTAATGAAAATCAATTCTAAAATCAATCGTCCAAAGCAGGAAATAAAATCAAGATTTTACTTTTTTGCCATATCGCCCATCCCTACACACATACATACATGTATACACACATACCGGTCTGTCACGCTCCTCTGTGTCACGCAGCTCCAGTCAAACCACATGAAACATGTTTGTGCTGCTGGTCCTTGGCAGTAGATCAGCTCCACACACATCACTTTTAAATTTGAGCGGAGACCAGCGAGACGCGACGCGTCACTCGCTGCTCTGACCATGTGAACGAGCCGTCTTTTGCTTGAAAATGCTTTAAACCGCAGCACAGCAGAACAGGAAGATTAAGAATAGCAGTTCTCTGTGCGCAAAGGTGCCAAAGCTGTTGCGGGTTTTGGCGCTGCTGTCTCAGCACTGATCCCATAGAACGCATTGCTGCACTTATGAAAAGTACGCAGCTCGAAATGGCTGTTATTTCAAAGAACCTGGGATATTTTAAACTACACGGTTAACCGGTTTCAACCGGTTAATGAGGCTCGGTGGTCGGTCATGAAAATTCATAGTTTTTTTACATTCCTAATATAGACACATGACATCGTCATACCACCGAACCTCTTAACACCCGCCTCATTTTGGCTTGTGCACAAAAGTTGGGCATACCCAAATGTCTTTGCTTATTTAAAACCACATCTTACATGTCACATGCTTGTATGATGCATCATTTAAAAGCTAGAGCCTTCTAGTTTATGTAAATATATACTAAAATAATGTTTGTCATACCTATTTCACTCTACATCCTTTTGAAGTTTGGGGGAAAACTTTTTTTTAGCCTCGTCTAAAATTTTCAATTTCTAAACGCCCTAAAAAAGGCATACTTCATTGTAAGTTCACAATATTCAAACCCTATGGTCATTGTGTTGTTGCCAACTGTCTAAAGTTTCAGACTTCTAAGTTTTATAGTTTTTATGCAGTTTCTCCTTTTCATCAAGTTGATGGTCAAATGGGTGTTGAGAACATCTCAGGATTCGGACAGAGTGCCATTGGGACAGCGGATGGAGACCAGCGCCAGGTGGATGAATTTAACCAATATTTCAACCAGTTCTATTTCCCCCCCCTCTTTATATGCCCTCCTTCCTGACCCAACCTCTTCACACGAGCCCAGTGGACATTGCACATTCCACAGCCCCACCTATGACGGTACACCCGTCCGCAGTCACTCTCCCCTCTCATCACAACGGACCAGGTGAGGGAAATTAAGCTGCTGAAGCAGAGGAAATCCAGGACCGGACGGGATCAGTCCCAGGCTGCTGAGGACCTGTGCAGACCAAGCCCTGGTAATCCAAGATGGCGCCCTATTCAAATGAAATCAAATTGTGCTCAGTAGCACATGGGACTTCACGGAGACCGGGAGATTAGCAGGACTCGCCTATATTTGGGCATCGTCTGGTCCTCCCGGTTCTGCGCAGTGGACGAGCTCCCATGATGCGTTGCGCCAAATACGCGTGTGTGGCTCTTATGTACGCGCACAGAGGGGCTCGGCCGCGCTCTGACCAATCAGCGCTGCTGATCAGAGCGGGAAGGAAAGGAGCAGAGTTTGTGCCAGTAAAGTCTGGATTCAAAGATAACCAAAGGATTTATGAAGAAAAGTTCAGGATGACAAGGGACACTAAAATCCCCACAAAATCCGATCTTTATGAAAGCTGTAGGTTCTGTCAGCTGAGGTCGAGCCGTTTTAGTTTACGTTGAGTTCTATGGGACTTTTTTTCTGGGTAGCCCGCTTAAATTTAGTTTGCAGTACCACTGGCGCCCCCTGTGCCCATGGGTGGGACAGCTTCAAGCTAGTAATACCCTATCCAGTTATTATTATAGATCCATGGTGCAGACCACCTCTCTCTCGGCCCTCTGCTCTTCTCACTGTATATAAATGACCTGCCATCTGTATGTGAGGATGTCACAATCCAGATTTATGCAGATGATACGGTCATCTATACATGGGGGAAGGGACGCTCAAACAGTAGCCAAAAAAACTGACTGTAGCCATGGAGAAGGTTGCAACATGGCTACATGATTCCTGTCTCACATTAAACATCTGTAAAACAGCAACAATGTACTTTGTAAATAAAAACAAAACAACCTTGTTTCCAAACATAACTGTAAAAGGGGAGGTGGTAAAAAATGTGAATATCGTTACCTGGGTGTAATTTTAGATCCCACCTTCAGCTTTAAAAAACATAACAGATGAGCCTTAGCCATGAATACAATATAAAAACTTTCAAATGTATCAGGAACTCACTAACATTGGAGGGAGCCCAAACTTATTTTAATGCAATGACCATGTCTCGTTTTTATAATTGTATAACGTGTTGGTCCCAGGCAAATAAAACCACTCTGAGGTCATTGGAAACTCTGCACAAACAGTCACTTAAGATCCTCGACCGGAAACCACGACATCACCATCACTGTTAGTTCTCCAAAAATATAGACGTTTAAATTTTGACAATATTCAAAGATTTGCATCCATACGATTGGCTCACAGCATATTAAATCCTAAAACAATCCTAAATCCAGCTCCACTCAAACACTTTGTTCAGTTCACAAGTTCACATCTGCTGCGACAAGTAGAACCACACGAGCCTCCACCAGGGGGCAGTGCAGCATACCCAGGTGTAAAACTACTTTTGAACTTAAAAACTTAAAAAGTGGTTATGGAGCTTACACGAACCCTGAGGTGTGACCCAGGACGACTGATGTATGTGAACTATGTATAATGAGAAACTGATGTATGTGATGAGAAAGTGCTGAATGTGTTAATGTATCATCAGAATGTGTGGTTGTGACTTGTGACTGAGTAGATGTACTGTACTACAAACAGGTGTGAGGCTAAATGTGTGTGTCTGTATCAGAGAGAGTGTTGTATTGCGATGTTATTTTTATTGGATTGTTCATCACTAACCAACTGACAGTAGCTCAGTTGGTAGAGCATTGGCCTTTGAGCCTGAAGGTCGTGGGTTCGAGCCCACTGTAAGACCTACTTCACGACTTCCACTGAAGTTTGATGACACCTGTTTGTAGGACTGCTGTTGTTGTGTCCTTGGGCAAGACACTTAACCCCACTTTGCCTGAAGCTCCCACTGAAAGATCTCAGCTCCTGTGGACTCACCACCTGCAGGAGGATCAGTGAGGGGCTGGTGCTCTGTGTGCTGCTGCTGTGACCCGTCCTGCTCCACCCAGAGGCTACACCACCTCTGCTGCTGTGACCTGTCCTGCTCCACCCAGAGGCTAGAAGACCATCTCTGCTGCTGTGACCCATCCTGCTCCACCCAGAGGCTAGAAGACCATCTTTGCTGCTGTGCGGAGCTACCATCCGAAACTGATTCGCTGTTTCGATCAGTCAATCACCTCCCGCCGGCTTTTAATTTATTTTTATTATTTTGACAACAAACGGCATACCAATTGTGTTTTGTTTACCCCGTTTTGACAAATACAAAGCAAACGGGGGTTATTAGCATCACATGCGTCATCAGAGTGGTTTTCGTCACTGAAGTGGACCCGAGCGTTTCACTGCCTCTCGCTGGGGAAGGAGACAGATCGCTCTTACTAAAGATTGACAGAATCAATGAATATACTACTCTGGGGATGTGTATGAAGGCCAAATAGCACTGTAATCATGTTTAAAGCAGAGAAAAGTAAAAAACCGTGATATGGACCCTTTTAAAGTGTAAAGTTAGGAACTCTAAATGAACCCCCTGGGCTTAAATGTTGATTAAATTTTATGATTTACATTATTACGGGTAAGTCCCGCCTTCCCTTATCTTAGCTATAGCTCAAAATCCACGATGCCGTCCACTTTAACCAATCAACTGAGGTCATTCATCTGCTCATATATAATTCAAATATTATATATAGATAGTTTATTCATCTATTCGAACACATTTTAGACAGCCCTTAATATTCGAAGTTGTCATAGGCATGATCTATTTTTTTTTTTTCTTTTTAAATGGGAACCAACTATATAAAAGTTAGTTCCCAAAGGTTTCAACGTGACGTGGCCAGACGGGTAGCGGCTAGGCTAACTAACTAGAACTCTCTGGAACTACATGAAAAGAGAACAAAGAATTCTGAACATCAGCAGTGAGTGACCCAAATAAAGAGTTGAATTAAATTCATAATCAGATCCCCTGCAAATGTGTCCTAAAATGTTCTACTAATATTTATAGTTACTTCCGGGGTTTACCACGATTGATTTTTGGCGCGATAAAACAGTTTTTTGTCATGAAAACGTTTACAGATAATTCTGAACACCTCAGTGCTATGGAGGACCAAAAATGACTAAAGTATAAATAAATAAATAAATACAGGAATATATTAATAAATACATTCATTTTGGACCATAAAAACTAAATATTTACATTGATGTGTTAAATATTACTATGAAATCAAATAAATATACTTTTATTTAGGTTATTTATCATAATCTACATTTTTTATACGGCAATATGCGGCACGGTGGCTGAGTGGATAGCACTCTCGCCTCTCAGCAAGAAGGTCCTGGGTTCGAATCCCGGTCGGACCAGGGCCTTTCTGAGTGGAGTTTGCATGTTCTCCCCGTGTCTGCGTAGGTTTCCTCCGGGTACTCCGGTTTCCCCTACCACTAAATATGTCCAATAGTTCTGGCATGTGCCTTCTGTTCTGGCCCCTCCCATCTCTGTGTGGAGTGAGAGACAAATGCCCAAAATTAACAATTGTAAACCGCTTTGAGACTCAGATCTGCAGTGAAAAGGCGGTATATAAATAAAAACTTACTACTACTTACATATATTTATTTATCTATTTCTACATTTCTTTATTTATTTATGTATTTCTTTGTCGCTACATTTCTTTATTTATTTATGTATTTCTACATTTCTTCATTTATTTATGTATTTCTACATTTCTTTTATTTTATGTATTTCTGTGTTGCCGTATGCTAATTAGGCGGCGGTGCTGAACTCAATCTAGAACAGGATTGGTGGGCAGTAGGTCAGCCAGGGCAACCAGACAGAAGCAAAGTTAAGCCTAGCGTACATCGACAGAGAAACTGGAGACAAGTTGCAAGGCGGCTTTTGGCAACTGAGAGTAGATGATGGAGATGATCAGTTGAAATCGGTCGATGTGCGCGCTCTTACAACTGGAGATGATCAGTCGGTCTCCAGTTTCAGTCAGTTGCCCGTGTTCTACTTTTCGGCAACTAGTTGTCCTCAGTTTCGGAGATATGACCCGATGTGCGCGCTCCATGCGCCGCTCCGACAACGTGTGTGTATTGCGTGTATTGCGAGCCCGCAACAGTTTGTCAGAAAACACACTGTAGTTGAGGCCAGTTGCTGTCGATGTACGCGCTGTTATTCCCGAGACTGGTCTGCTACTGGGAGTTGCCAGTTTTCGTCAGATTGTCGATGTGTGCGGGGCAGCAACTCATATGCGACGGATATAATCAGTTGCCAGTCCGATGTACGCTAGGCTTTAGCCTTCTTGGTTTGTGAGAGGATGTGAAGCTGCTGTATAGCTTGTTGAAGAGCGTCCAGCACAGTTGCATCAAAGTCTACCTCTGGGTCAGCACTGTGATGAACTAAAACATTTAATAGTCTTTCCAGCCGAAATGGTAGATAGTCCTCAGGTGCATTATGCTCAACATCATTAACATCATTTGCTAATGCTCTTAATTGATGAGCAATGGCTCCTAAAAAACTTACATTCGAAACTGCCATCATACCACACAAAAGTGCACAGAGGATCTCTAGCTAGCTAACAGAGTACCGTAATGTGAGGCAGTAATGATCGAGACCAGAGTTCACGCAATCCTAACCAATCCTGTTCTAGATTGAGTTCAGCACCGCCCACCTAATTAGCATACAGGAACACAAAAATACATAAATAAATAAATGAAGAAATGTAGCGACACAGAAATACATAAATAAATAAATGAAGAAATGTAGAAATACATAAATGAAGAAATGTAGCGACACAGAAATACATAAATAAATAAATGAAGAAATGCAGCGACACAGAAATACATAAATAAATAAATGAAGAAATGTAGAAATACGTAAATAAATATATGCAATAAATGGATAAATAAATAAAGGAAAAAATGTAGATTTTGATAAATAACCTAAATAAAAGTATATTTATTTGATTTCAGAGTAATATTTAGCATATCAATGTAAATATTTAGTTTTTATTGTCCAAAATGAATGTATTTATTAATATACTCCTGTATTTATTTATACTTTAGTCATTTTTGGTCCTCCATACAGTGCACGTGTGTTAAGAATGTATATGCATAATCATAATGTATTCTCTGATTAACATTTAAATGTGTTGATTGATTGATATTCATGTTATTGAGCATGGCTAGCTTCGATAGCTTCTCTCGCTCAGACAGAAAGTGACAGGCGCTGAAAGCCCGTTGTGACTGTGTGCGAACTACTGTCCGGAGTAATCCTAGTATTTTACACACCTAAAGTAGAAGCACAGTGTGATGCCAAAAGGCAGCGGTCATTATTGGTTTGAGAGGTTTGTTATCAAGAAATAATGATTGGTAGAACGTTTTGAAATTGCATTTAAATCAATGGAGCTACTGCTGCTGTGAGGAACTGTATAATTATGATTAATTAATTACGTCTCATCCGCACGTCTTGGACCATTGACCTGGCTCGTCCACAGAAAAGTAGGCGTGGCTTCAAGACCAGTCAGAAAGGAAGTGGTATAGAGCTTGGGTCATTCTGTATTTTATTTTTTTAATCATGTACCTCCCCTTTTTTCTGACAAACTCCAGATTAGAAAGTGAAGGAACTGGAATACCAGTCGGTTATCATAGACTTTGTCGACTGATGTGAGCGCAACCACTTGTGCTTGAACACCAGTAAGACCAAGGAGATGGTAATTACCTTCAGGAGAAAACCACTGTCCCACACGCCGCTGAACATCCAGGGGGAGGACATTGAGCTGATGGACCGCTTCAAGTACCTGGGTGTTCACATTTACAATAAACTGGACTGGTCCCAGCCACCAATGCCCTGTACAAGAAGGGCCAGAGTCTCCTCCACCTTCTGAGGAGGTTGCTTCGTAGTGAGCAGGCCTCTGCTCAGGAATTGTTTTGACTTTGGTCGCTTCTGCCATACTAATGACCTGCAATAGGATTGAAAAAAAACAGCACTGCTATTGCCACTTTATATTGTACATAATTAATCCTGCACAGACTATATTTTTAACCTTAACATGTTTGCTCACTTCTGTCAATCTGAGTGATTCTATCAATGGCAAATGTGAATTTAAATTTCTCCATTCTGAGATCAATTAAGATAAGTTTATCTTATGCTGAATTGTTACTTCTATGCCATATAACGGGGGTGGCCAACCTGCGGCTCTTTGACTGGTTCCATGTGGTTCTCGGGCTTTCACATGACAAGCGTCAAACGCCTCCACGATGGCACTCCCATTCATTCCCTATGTGGCAAGTTGACCCAAGTAGTAAAGGCCGACTCTACTCGACTAGCCGGGCCGAGTAGATACAAAAACAATCTGACGTCAGCGAACGTCAATTCTGATTTGTCAGATGCTCTGTCAATCACTCTTCAGCTGCTGCGTCAGCTGTTGCTAAAAACATACAAATACGTTTCCTCGACCCATAAGACGTCCGAACGGAAAACAATTCCTTGGTCGCTGGATGCGGTCAACACCTTCCTCAGTTTGAGGAGTTCAATGGTTCCACCTGAAACCAAAAGGTGTTTGGAGGTAAGTAAGTGCTCTTTATATACCGCCTTTCGCAGACCAGAGTCACAAAGCAGTTTACAATTATTGGCGTTTGTCTCCCACTCCACACAGGGAGCGGGGTCGGCAGTACATGTTTTTAGTGGTAGGGGAAACCGGAGCACCCGGAGGAAACCTACGCTGACAAAGGGAGAACATGCAAACTCCACTCAGAAAGGCCCTGTTCTGACTAGGATTCGAACCCAGGACCTTCTTGCTGAGAAGCGAGAGTGCTATCCACTCAGCCACCGTGCCGCCCTGAAGACAGAGCAGAATGATACCACGACATCAAAATGCAGTCAAAAGTTATGAAGCTTAAAAGTGACTACCATGAAATGAAAGATCACCATAGCATCGGTAGAGGCGGAACCGAAAAGTCTGGAGGTGGTTTGACCAAATGGATACAATTTACAGACATTGGCTAACACCAGCTACACCGGGAGAGAACCCTCAACTCTGCCAGAAGTGTAGTTTGAGGGAAATGGTGAGTGTCTGTCTTCAATCTGTTCTTATACTGAACATGCGTCTGTGGTCCTAAAATCTAAAACGGCTTAAGTGGTATGACGATGTCATGTTTCATATCTATATCTTTTACTAAACGCAGTTAGTAAGTGAATCATGGATTCATGGTTCAATAAAGACAGTCGTTGTGTTATCTGCTGAATGCTGGGTTGAAACTTGAAAAAAGTTCTTGGTTAGAGATGACACATCAGATTGTTTTGGTATCTACTCGGCCCGGATAGAACCAGGGCCAAGCCGTTACTAAAAAAGTACCGGGTTGTGGCTAAAGCGAGCCTGTGAAAATCAGTCGAGTCGAGCCCTTTAGTACTGTAGCAGTCAATTTTTGTCATGTTGGTGTGTGACATTTACATCCGGCTAAGCAGAGGTGTGTGTGTGCATGCGGGGTTATGTTTTATGTGTGCCCATTTGTATGATGTGGCTCTTAGCAGTAACACAGTAAAAATAATTGGCTCTTTGTCTCTGGCTGGTTGGCCACCCCTGATTTGGAAGCATATAAGCAAGTCATAATATCAATAGAATTTTGAACATAGCTGACTCGCCTCTTACATTTTTACTCTAGTTTAAGGGTCAGTTTTTTGTTAATTAAGCATCAGATTCATGGTGTATTTTGTTGGTCCAGCTCTAGGTGTTCAGCAGCCCTCTCTCCTGGGAGCCTCTCCTTCAATGTACTCACAGCAGTCTGCTCTGGCGGCAGCATCACTAAACACTCAGTCTGCAGCCAACTACCAGCTGTCTCAGCAGACTGCAGCTCTGCAGCAGCAGGCTGCGGCTGCAGCAGCAGCAGCTCTTCAGCAGGTAGGCCTCATGCACCCTTCACATCTGTTTTTTGATCTTTTGTTTCATTGTCTGTATAGTCGCAGATCAATTCAGCCCTACAACAGTATCAGCAGCAGCCTCAGCCACAACAACCCCCTCCGCAGCAGCTCTACAATGTTCCACATCAGGTGAAACCCCCTTATTTTTTGTATTGTAGCCTGAAGCTTAGTTATTATGACTAGTGTGTGAGGAGTTTAGACCAAGGTATAAAGCAGGTTTTATGCATGCTTTAAGCACTATTCTTTAGGGTGACTCAAATCTTTTATCTTTTTCAGCTTCCCCAACCCCAGCAAGCACTTATGTCTCAGGTATTTACAAAGGCCTAATAGAAATGTTTGTGTGAATGAAAAGAGCCATAATTAGTCATGATTGACTGATAAATTGTTCCACAGCCTCCTGTTCCCTTGCAAACGAGCATGAGCCTTTCCAACCCGCAGCAGACTGCTCAGATAACAGTTTCCTATCCAACACCACGCTCTAGTCATCAGCAACAGGCACAGCCCCAGAAGCAGCGGGTTTTCACTGGGGTGGTCAACAAACTGCACGATACATTTGGTTTTGTGGATGAAGATGTATTCTTTCAGCTGAGGTCTTTCACCCTACTGCTCGACTACAATGTAATATTTTTGAAATGCATTATGACAGACTGTCTTTGCATTATTAGTGCTGTAAAGGGGAAAACGCCACAAGTGGGCGACAGGGTCCTTGTTGAAGCAGTATACAACCCAAACATGCCCTTCAAGTGGAATGCCCAGCGCATCCAGACCCTACCTCAGCTTGGTAACCAGACGGTGAGAAGTAATTTTACTTGCACGGTTCTGTTATTTTCTCGCTATATGTAATTCTTCTACTTATTAAGATATAACGTAAAAAGTGACCAATGGTTGAATTTACATTTTCTATCTCGATATTTAAAGGGTCAAGCTCCAAATATGATGAAGTCTGGCCCACCCATGCTGCAGTCTATGCCTCCTGTTCCAGTCCCACCGCCCCCTCCCTCACTCCTGCAGGCTCAGCTCTCTGCTGCCTCTTTGGCTCCACTCCTTCAGAACCCTCCTCAGCCTCTGCTACCACAGCCCCCGCCAAAAGGTCAGATCTGTGTTATATTGAGATCCATCCTAATGAGCACATGGTACAAACTACTCTTTTGGCCATTAGATGTGTTTAGCAGTGGCCTGCTTCAGCCACCTGTGAGAATGATGGCACAGCCACAGCCAGTAAGGAGGATAGAGCCGCCTCCTCGCTTCACCAACCGTAATGATCGAGGACCTGAGCTCATCCTGCGCCCCAAGGAGGAGCGCAGGTAATACACACACAACCCACGCCATTGGATGTGTTTTTATTTTTGTGTGTGAGATTTATTTATAGATATATATTTATATTTTACATTACTGTGCTTGAGCAGGGAGCGCGAGCGGCGAAGGTCACGAGAACGTTCACAGACACGTAAACGCTCTAGAGACCGCTCCCCCAGAAGAGAACGTTCACCACGGCGGCCGCGCAAGGCAGCACCCCGCTACACTGTGCAGTTCTCAAAGTTCAGCTTGGATGGGTATGTGGAAACCTCTTGATAAGATTATTTTACAGAGATGTCTGTTTTACATAGTAATTATGTCTGTTGTGGTGTAGCACAAGCTGTGACATGATGGAACTACGCAGGCGTTACCAGAGCCTTTACATCCCCAGTGACTTCTTTGACGCAGCCTTCACTTGGGTGGACGCTTTCCCTTTGGCCAGACCTTTTCAGCTAAGCAACACATGCAACTTTCACATCCTTCACAAAGAGGTTGATCCTTTGGCCAAGAACACAGCTGTTTTGGACCCACCTGATGCAAATCACAACTTCAGTGCTAAGGTAGCTCCAATTCCTTACATTATATAAGATAACTGATCTCACAATGGAGAAATTTGTGTCACATTTGGCATGAATAGGATCACTCGGGGTGTGCAAAGATATATTATACATAAATATAATACATATTATATATATACTAAATATATTTCACATTGACAGTGCCCAGTATTCATTTTTCTCAAACTGCTCTCAAACTACAGCCTTTTGAAATCTTTAACACGATTCACATTTTCCAACACTGCCACCATTGTGATGTCACAATATGCAAATTGGATAACCTTCCAACCCAAATTTTGAAGATATTTCTCATTTACAGTATGCCTTTATCTTAAACCACTGTAAATTGAAAGCCTTTTGAAATCTTTATCAAATTAAATTCTTGAAAAAACTCGTGCCTAAAGGGTTATCATGTTTTTGCATGCTGTATAAACGTTATATTCTTTTTTTTCTGTTGTTAAACCTTCTCTTATTTATGTATGATAAGAAATATGGCTACTCAGTAACAAAATTACTACACTGTATTTCTAAATAAAGTTTTTGTACAGTGTTGTACATACTTTTTACATTTTATGACTGGTTAGCCAAACATGTTTGGGGCATTAACCATAACATAACCTTGTATTCTCAGGTAATGCTACTGGCTACCCCCAGTATTGAGGAACTCTATCACAAGTCCTGTGCTTTAGCAGAGGATGCTCAGGAGATCAGAGACTCTTTCCAGCATCCTGCCAGACTTGTCAAGGTACAGCACAAGGTTCACATACTCGGCTTGTAAAAGTTAACTGTGATGTCTTAATGGTCACTATTTTGAAAATGATTCAGATTCCCTTATTTGCCATTCAGATTAATACAATGATTATGATGCAGATACACTTTTTCAAAGAGAAATAAACTTTTATTTTTAAAGACCATCGCCGGAAGTGGAGGAAGTAGCGGGCGGGCTTTCATAGATAAGATAAGAATTCCTTTATTCGTCCCACAGTGGGGAAATTGATGCTAATGGAGTTAAGCTAGCGGCTTTTTGTGCAAAGTTGTTCGCCAAGAATGCAGCTTTGCAGCGTCTCTTTGTCGAGAGACCTTCCAGAGACTTTATATAACAGCAGTATGTGTTCGCGGAGGTGTGCCATAAGTTTATTTTACTATTAAACCGTACTTCCGCATCGGTGAACACGCTAACGCTAGCTGCGCTAGTTTAGTCACTACTAGAGCCTGAATGAGAACTCAGGCTGGCATATGTTCACAACTACTGTGTCCCCCATTGTCAACTGGTTAACTCCTGGTTTAGGTCCTGTTTTGGCTGTATTTTGTATTTTTGAGTTATTTCAGTCTGCTCGCTAGACCACTAATGTTCCTGTGATCACTTTGCGGCTCTCTGACCCGAGAGAGAGGGAGAGAGAGAGACGAGGATAATAAGCAAGCATGCAAATAAAATTTATCGTGGGCAGAAAAATTATTGCGCTAATTTTAATTATCGTGCGATTTATTGAATATCGCGACAGGCCTAATCGCAAGATCTAAATCTAAAGCAAATGTTCGACCTGTAACACTCTCCGTTGTGATCCCACAGCGCTCTCAACCACCACACGGGTCAACTCCTTGTACCTCTCTCCAATTTCGTGGGACAGCTTCTCATCAATTTTGTGAGCTGCCATCCCTCAAACTTTGCGGTAAAACCCAAAAAAGAATTCCAACTACCAGGAATCCAAAGATATAGACGTCTTCCGAATCTTTGGTAGACAGAGGCGACAGGTGTAACGGGGTCCACCGGCCCCAGCTGTCATAGGAGTAGCCCACAGCTGCCGTCCCATCAGGACAGGGAGCCTCTCCCGGTTCTCCCTTACTGAGGAGGGGGGGGCGGCAGTCAGAGCTGCACCCAGTACACATATCACCTGCAGGAGGATCAGTGAGGGACTGGTGCTGAATCCACAGGGCCTTGATCTTCCAGCGGGGGCTTCAGGCAAAGTTTGGTTAAGTGTCTTGCCCAAGGACACAACGACAGCAGTCATCAGTGGGAGTCGTGACGTAGGTGTTGCGGTGGGCTCGAACCCACGACCTTCAGGTCCAAAGGCCACTCCAGGAATAAGACAAAAACAAGATAGGGCCAAAATGTGCTAAACAGTTTAACATTACATGCAGTTTCCTCCTTTATGGTTGCTGTATCTAATGGATTCGTGTTTCTTGTCTCCTAGTTTTTGGTGGGCATGAGAGGCAAAGATGAGGCCATGGCCATAGGTGGTCACTGGTCTCCCTCTTTGGATGGAGCTGACCCGGAGAAGGACCCCTCTGTGCTTATAAAGACAGCCATACGCTGTTGCAAGGCGCTCACAGGCATAGATCTTGGTCTGTGCACCCAGTGGTAAGATCTGTTATCATTTCTATTGTCATATTGCCATTATTTGACTCATTCCCTGCATTTTGTTTTGCCACAATACAAGATTTAGTTCTGTATCTAATTTCTCAAATTCCTTTTTTTATGCCATCTTTTTTTGCTTTTGTCTGCTGGCATCTTTCTCTTTTCTTCTGTTGTAAGATTTTGTGTGCAAACTGTATGTACATATTGAGATTAACTTTAAAAAACCGCATGGAATTTGTGGCTGGAAGCAGTGACGTGGAGCAGAAGACCGCTGTTTTTTTTTCTAAATCATTGTTAAATATTTCTATTATATCTAACTGTCCTGTTGGTGCTTTTCCTTTGCACAACTCTTATGTTGGGCCTTGCCCTTATTACTCCAGGTTAACGCAGTTCTCAACATCTTTAATTGGCTGGAGATGATTATTAATCAGGCAGATTTTCTGTGTGAATCATTCAATGTGATTATGTTTTTATTTTATACATTTGTCAACCTTAAAATGGCTGCCATGACCAGTGACACAAGTTGGAGCGCTGCAGACGTGTGTGATTGGGGAAGGCTCAGTGTAATGATGTCTTAAACCTGTGTCCACAACGATGTTTCTCTCCAATGCGCCTTCTTCCTTTGCGACAGGTATCGATTTGCAGAGATCCGTTATCACCGGCCGGAGGAGACCCACAAGGGGCGGACTGTTCCCGCTCATGTGGAGACAGTGGTTTTGTTTCTGCCGGATGTTTGGCATTGTCTTCCCACCCGCTCAGAGTGGGATGTGCTGTCACGGCGACTCCGGGAGCAGCTGGCTGAGAAGCTGTCGGCCGAGCGCAAGGAGGCGGATGGAGAACAGGCACTGAACCGCTAATCCCTTCTTCTTTGTTTTCCGCTTCTCACAGGAAGGACTTAAAACATACACATGCAGTAAACACACAGAGGCAGACTCCACCTAGACTTCTTCTGTGTCTGCCCCTCCTCTTCATCCCACTTCACCACCTCTGCATCCAGTAGACTCATTCAGTGAAAACAAATTAGGCCCCAATAACAGCTGGTAAAACAAATTTCAGCTTTCTATTGTGTCAGAAATTGGATGAATTTGACCTCTTTGAAATGTCCCAAATTTGAGGTCAAACGCTGGTGTGGAGTCAGATTTGCGTTCTTTTCACATTGAGTCTACCCCCATCTGAAAAAAAAACATCTCACGCTCAAACCCCCTCCCCGTCTTTCCTGTCAGTTCTCAATGTTGGAGTTTTGACATTTTCATTTGAAGTGGTCCAATCTAGACCTTGGGATTTCCAGAGCAGTTGGTTGGACAGAAGCACATAGCTTTTCAAAAAATACAAATTGTAAACATTCTGTAGATGGGGTATTGTCCACTGTGTTTGGAGACCAGCTTGAGTTCACCTGCCGCACCTACTCACCTCTCATTGATTTGACCTTTTTTGTGTTCCACAGATTGTTTGATTGGCCGCTGGGGGGAATTTGTGTTGGTCTTTATAAGCACTAGAGAGCAGTACTGTGTATGCCTCAGTAGCAGTGGACTTAAGCACAGTCGCTCACTAGATGTACAAACATGATTCAGAAGCTTTTTCTGCTTTGTGCCACCATGAATTATGTATTGACTGTGGTTTCTCCTTCCCCCTTTTTCTCTGCTTTGTGTAACGACTCCTGTTCAAGGAGGAAGACGACAAAGATGACGGCGAGTCTAAGGATGTCACTGTCCCCACACACTGGACCAAACTGGACCCCAAGTCCATGAAGGTACGTATGACAGTGCATCCATTTGACTGTGGCAAAGGGCAAGCAATGATGTTTACCTATTCCATTTCTTAATGATATAATGTGGAGAACAGCTGCTGAGTTTGCTCATCTATTCAGTCTGCTGTAGATTTCCCTTGTGTAAATGTGGGCTGATACGTTTTTTTGTGAAAGGTGAGCGATCTACGGAAAGAGCTGGATTGCCGCTCTTTAAGTTCCAAAGGCTTGAAGTCCCAGCTGATCGCACGTCTCACGAAGCAGCTGAAGGTTGAGGAGCAGGTGGAGGAATCCAAAGAGCCTGAAATAGTAGAGCCCATAATTCCTCTGCTAGAGGAGCCTGTTTGCACTGAGGAAAATAAAGAGGTCTGTTTTCTTCAATGTGTTTTCCTAGCCTTGCTCCAAATCTGAGTGTAACTGTCCCCTGCAGGAAGAGGAGAAAAAAAAAATGGAGGAGCTGGAGCGCCACCGCAGAGAGCGACGTTACGTCCTTCCAGAGGAGCCTACTATCCTGGTGCACCCCAACTGGGCGGCCAAGAATGGCAAGTTTGACTGCAGCGTCATGTCTCTGAGCGTGCTGCTGGACTACAGACTAGAGGACAACAAGGAGCACTCCTTTGAGGTATCACACGCGCAACACACACTTTGGTAAACTTAGTTTGAACTAAGCAGTGTGTGTATTTTCAGGTTTCACTCTTTGCTGAGCTTTTTAATGAAATGCTACAGCGAGACTTCGGATTTAGAATTTATAAAGCTCTGGCTGCACTCCCCGCAAAAGATGAAAAGAAGGAAAAGAAGGTAAAAAATTCAGAAAAGAAAGAGGTTGAAAAACGTGAAATCAAAAAGGAGAAAGATGATGAAGAACCGGTCACAAAGAAGGCCAAGGAGGATGAAGATAAACGCAAGGTATAGGCCCCGTAAGCTTAGAGATGCACTGTCAATGTACTATTGTAGCATTCACAGTGGTTTTGGAAGAGCGTAAACTTGTGTGTTTGGTGCAGCCTGTGGAAAAGGTGACGAAAAAGGAGGATTCTAAAGATGAAGAAGACAATGAAGAGGAAGGCAGCACTGCTAACGCCGAAGAGTATGACCCTCTAGAGGCCGAGGAGGCTGAGGACGATGATGAAGACGGTAAAGCTCTGCCTCATCAGGCCGTACTCGAATGGTCCATGAGGAGAAATCCTGCGCCACCATGACCATCTTATACAACTTTTCCACTTTTATCTGCGCAACACACATCTGTGACAGCATCTATACATTATCATTCACACCTGACACGTAATGTCTTTTTAGATGAAGTGGATTCTAATGGCCGGGATAAGAAGGAACAAAAGGATGACCGCAAGTCCTCCAAAGAGCGTTGCTCTAAAGACAAGGTGAGCTTCACTGCAAACACAAAGGCATTGGGCACATGCCTAACTAACAACCTTTAAGAGATTGTGATTTTCTAATACAACATGTGGAAAGTTAATGCTGGGAATGTCGTGTACCAAAAAGCACTGGTATGCTTATTACCTGTACTGGTGTATGTCATGCATCCCTTTTTTATCTTGTCATTTTGTTCTCAAGTGCTTTTTAAATATGAGAACATGTGTTGTCATCAGGAGAAAAAACCGATGATGACTTATAACCGAGAGCTGCTGATGGCGTTTGTGTACTTTGACCAGTCTCACTGTGGCTACCTGTTGGAGCGGGACCTGGAGGAAATCCTGTACACGTTAGGACTGCACCTCTCCAGAGCTCAGGTGAAAACCCTCTCAAGCTGCTTCACTGTGAGATCAGTGCTGAATGTAACACGTCTTATCTGTAGGTAAAAAAGCTGCTGAACAAACCTGTAGTGCGAGAGTCCTGCTACTACCGCAAACTCACAGACAAAGGAAAGGATGATCCTTCTCCATCGTCCTCAGACGTGCACGTGGAAAACCTGCTCGGTGAGTTGGCATCACATGCTGTTCAATGAGACTCACCCCAGAGGTCCCTCATGTTTCCTGTGTATATTTACTGTGTGTTTATACATACAGTGTGTGTATATGTATATATATATATATATATATATATCAGTTCCTTGCGAAAGTATTCGGCCCCCTTGAACCTTTCGCCACATTTCAGGCTTCAAACATAAAGATATAAATACATTTTTTGTCAAGAATCAACAAGTTGGACACAATCGTGAAGTGGAACAAAATGTATTGGATAATTTAAACTTTTTTAACAAATAAAAAACTGAAGTGGTGCGTGCAATATTATTCGCCCCCCTTGCGCTAATACTTTGTAGCGCCACCTTTTGCTGCAATTACAGCTGCAAGTCGCTTGGGGTATGTCTATCAGTTTTGCACATCGAGAGACTGGAATTCTTGCCCATTCTTCCTTGCAAAACAGCTCGAGCTCAGTGAGGTTGGATGCAGAGCGTTTGTGAACAGCAGTCTTCAGCTCTTTCCACAGATTCTCGATTGGATTCAGGTCTGGACTTTGACTTGGCCATTCTAACACCTGGATACGTCTATTTGTGAACCATTCCATTGTAGATTTGGCTTTGTTTTGGATCATTGTCCTGTTGGAATATAAATCTCCGTCCAAGTCTCGGGTCTTTTGCAGACTCCAACAGGTTTTCTTCCAGAATGGTCCTGTATTTGGCTCCATCCATCTTCCCATCAATTTTAGCCATCTTCCCTGTCCCTGCTGAAGAAAAGCAGGCCCAAACCATGATGATGCCACCACCATGTGTTGCTTTTACGCCAAACATATCGTTTTGCATTGTGGCCATTGTTTGATTTTGGTTTCATCTGACCAGAGCACCTTCTTCCACATGTTTGTGTCTCCCAGGAGGCTTGTGGCAAACTTTAAACGAGGCTTTTTATGGATATCTTTGAGAAATGGCTTTCTTCTTGCCACTCTTCCATAAAGGCCAGATTTGTGCAGTGCACGACTGATTGTTGTCCTATGGACAGACTCTCCCACCTCAGCTGTAGTTATCTGCAGTTCATCCGGAGTGATCATGGGCCTCTTGGTTGCATCTCTGATCAGTCTTCTCCTTGTTTGAGATGAAAGTTTTGAGGGACGGCCGGGTCTTGGTAGATTTGCAGTGGTCTGATACTCCTTCCATTTCAATTTAATTGCTTGCACAGTGCTCCTTGAGATGTTTAAAGCTTGGGAAATCTTTTTATATCCAAATCCGGCTTTAAACTTCTCCAACAGTATCTCGGACCTGCCTGGTGTGTTCCTTGTCTTCATGGTTCTCTCTGCGCTTTAAACAGAACCCTGAGACTATCAAAGAGCAGGTGCATTTATACGGAGACTTGATTACACACAGGTGCATTCTATTTATCATCATCAGTCATTTAGGACAACATTGGATCATTCAAAGATCCTCACTGAACTTCTGGAGTGAGTTTGCTGCACTGAAAGAATAGGGGCCGAATAATATTGCACTCCCCACTTTTCAGTTTTTTATTTGTCAAAGTTTAAATTATTTTTTAATCAATAAATTTTGTTCCACTTCACGATTGTGTCCCACTTGTTGTCGATTCATGACAAAAAATTAAAATTTTATATCTTTATGTTTCAAGCCTGAAATGTGGCGAAAGGTTCAAGGGGGCCGGATACTTTCGCAAGGCACTGTATTTGTATAGATAGATTGATTACACGCAACCCAAGTGTGTTCCTTGGTTGTCTTGATGCAAGCTACACTCTGTGTCAGTAGTCCATCAAGACATTTATCTGGCTCAATTTTAGCATTGCTACAGAAAAGTCCAGTTCTGCTCCACACACACCTCTCATGTGGGATGGCTGTAGTAGAGTAGACTGGCACATGTTTGACATGTTTTCTCCTGGCAAAAAGCACTGAGTTACACACAGGTTTTCATCACTTGAGGCTTACAAGTCTGAAATAAAGCTATCAAGACGCACTGAAAAAACAGTCTTGTCCACACAGAACACAATTGTTTGTAATATTTCAAAAGTTTGGGGAAATTATTAAGATGGTGTTGGATATTACTAGCCTTCAATGGTAATGTAATGATTTCTTTTTAATGTTTGAAGTCATCAGAATCACCATTAGTGCATTTTCTAAAATGCATAATGCCAGTCATTGGTTAATACAGCTGACTTCAGACTGATTGGCGGTTACACAAATATGTATGCATCTAAAATTTGGAACACACAAGTTAATGATTTTGCCACATCCTCAAATACCACACATATACAGTACGGAGATAAATGAAGTGTTAAGAGCATTTCATAGTATTTGTAGGACCATAAAAAAACATGTGTTTGACATTTAACCAATAGTGTCTTAAATTAGACCTGTGTCATAGTGACGCCTTCTCTAAGCTATAGCCAGAAACCTTGTGCTCACAGTAGGATGCATTTGTGTGTGCAGGTAACAAGGCGCTGCTTCCTGCTCTCATGGCCCGGCCTCAGGCTGAGAGCAGTGAGTCTGGAGGTCTGATTGTGTACAATGGGGCCATGGTAGATGTGGGCAGCATGATGCAAAAACTGGAGAAAAGCGATAAGGCGCGAGACGATATCGAACAGAAACTCTTTTTTCAGGACAACAAAATGGGTATGTGTACAACATAAGATAAACTTTATTGATCTCACAATGGAGAAATACACATTTCACATTTGGCATAAATAGAATCACTCAGATTGTGCAAACATGTTGAGGTTAAAAATATAGTGTGTGCAGGATATTATGTACAATAAAAAGTGGCAAAAGCAGTGCTGGTTCTTCAGTCCTAGTGCAGGTCATTAGTGACTTAAAGTGACTTATTGTACAGTCTGACAGCGGTGGGGATAAAGGCCCTGTGGTAGTGCTCCTTCTTGCACTGAGGGTGCCTCAGTCTTCCACTGAAGGAGCTCCTCAGCTCCTCTCCAGTCCTGTGCAGTGGGTGGGAGGTGTTGTCCATGATGGAGGTGACTTTGGCTAGCATCCTCCTGTCCCTCAACACGTCCAGAGTCCGTGGAGCAGCCCCAGAGTGGAGCTGGCCCTTCTGACCAGCTTGTTCGATGGCCGAGTGGCACGATGGCCGAGTGGCACGATGGCCGAGTGGCACGATGGCCGAGTGGCACGGTGGCCGAGTGGCACGGTGGCCGAGTGGCACGGTGGCCGAGTGGCACGGTGGCCGAGTGGCACGGTGGCCGAGTGGCACGGTGGCCGAGTGGCACGGTGGCCGAGTGGCACGGTGGCCGAGTGGCACGGTGGCCGAGTGGCACGGTGGCCGAGTGGCACGGTGGCCGAGTGGCACGGTGGCCGAGTGGCACGGTGGCCGAGGTTTCCTCCGGGTGCTCCGGTTTCCCCTACCACTAAAAACATGCACAATAGGTATGAATGTGAATGGGAGAGTGAACGGATGGTGTTGATTGGGGGCTGATGCGCCAGTGTTTTCGGCGACTCGCTTCTGTCACCATGTGTGGAATGATTGAAACAATATCTGAACTCTGAGCATTGTAAAGCGCTTTGGGTGACCTTGGTCTGTAAAAATGCACTATATAAAGAAACATTACTTACTTACTTGTTCAGTGTACTCCTGTCCCGCTCTGGGCTGCCCAGGGTCCAGCACACGATGGCGTAGTGTATGGCAGAAGCTACCAAAGTAGTAGTCCTTAGCTGAGGCCTGCTCACTTCAAAAGATCACAACCTCCTCAGAAGGTGACTTTGCCCCTTCTTGTACAGGGCGCGGTGTTGTGGGACCAGTCCAGGTCATTATTAATGTGAACACCCAGGTACTTGAAGCTGTCCGCCAGCGCAATGTCCTCCCCCTGATTGTTCAGGAGAAAACCACTTTCCCATACACTGTTGAAGTCGATTACCATCTCCTTGGTCTTACTGGTGTTCAAGCACAAGTGGTTGCCCTCACACCAGTCAACAAAGTCCATGATAACCGACTGGTATTCCAATTCCTTCCCCTCAGACACACAGCCCATGATGGCTGATCTGAGAACTTCTGCAGGTGGCAGCAGTGTGTGTCTAATGTAACTAATGGTTGATGTCTCTCTTCCATTGGTTGTCTTTAGGGATGTAAAAAACTATGAATTTTCATGACCGACCACCGAGCCTCATTAACCGGTTGAAACCGGTTAACCGCGTAGTTTAAAATAGTCCACGTTCTTTGAAATAACAACCATTTCGAGCCGCGTACTTTTCATAAGTGCAGCTCTGCGTTCTACTGGATCAGAGTTGAGACAGCGGCGCCCAAACCCGCAACAGCTCCGGCACCTTTGCGCACAGAGAACTGCTTTTTTAATCTTCCCATTCTGCTGTGCTGCGGGTTAATACCAAAACTTTCTAGCAGCAAACGACGGCTCGTTCACATGGTCAGAGCAGCGAGTGACGAGCCGCGTCTCACAGGTCTTCACAAAAGTTTAAATACAAGTGATGTGTGTGGAGCTGATCCCGAGGACCATAAACACAAACATGTTCCATGTGGTTTGACTGGAGCCGTGTATTTGCGCGAATCCTTTGGGCTCCGTGACACAGAGGAGCGCGACAGACCGGTATGTGTGTGTGTATGTGTGTGTATGTGTGTGTGTGTGTGTATGTATGTATGTGTGTGTGTGTAAATGTAAGCTCCAATGTAGTTCTGACCCGCGCCAGTGTGCAACTTTGACGGTAACAGAGGGGAGAGATGATGCGTGTGGATGTTACGTATGGAGAGGGGGAAAGTGTGTGTGTGTGTGCGCGCGTGCGTGTGTGTGTGCGCGCGCGTGCGTGTGTGCATATGTGGCTCGTGCGGCGTGAGAGTCGTCCCGGAGTTTATAATACATGGGCGCATACAGCTAGATACAGACCCGCTCGTCACACCGTGCAAATAGGGCTTAAAATAGCGTTATTAAGAGACCTCCCCTCTCCCCGTTTTCTCTTTTTTAACCGACAGCTTTGACCGGTTAACGCTGTGACGGTCAACCACCGGTTAACCGGTCGCCGATTTACATCCCTAGTTGTCTTAATGCAAGCTACACTCTGTGTCAGTAGTCCATCAGGACAATTATCTGGCTCAATTCTAGCATTGCTACAGTAGACTCCAGTTGCTACACACACCTCCCTCACACCATACCTCTTGTGTGGGATGGCTGTAGCCGAAGAGACTGGCACATGCTTTGATCTGAGCACCCTAAAGAATTAATGTTGAACTGTTCCAATTAATTAAATGTGGTAAAGGTTTTTGCGTATTAAGCCAGCTGATTATACCATACAGTGGAACATTCCTGACCGGGTAAACTATTGGTACTCTGTGTTGTATTAACTGAAAATAGAATAAACTTGAATCTCCATGGAAACACAGTTGTGTATTAGCTGAAAATCGCCTTATTCTTGAAGTCTCTAAATTGTTTGGTTCAGTTTTGGTTCAATCCCAACTTAATTTTGATCTGAAAAATCTAAGAATTATAAAATATTTCTTTTCGTCCCACAGTGGGGACATTTCAGTGTCATTTTTGCACACATTACAGCAGAGAAAGAAGGAAATAAGAGCACTGAGATTGCACAGTCTATTATTTAAGATAATAGAAAGAATTAAAATAAGACTAAGATAGTGAGATAAAATATACCCTGAATGTCAAATAGAATTCTGTAAGTAAAAGGAAGTCACAAACTAGGATTTTGCTTTGGCTTGTGGTGCAAACAAGTTATAAAAGTAAAAAATAATAAATATAAAGGTGTGCATAAAAAATCTTCATTTAAAATGTCTATTCTTTTATACAATGTGTATACATCTAGAATTTTCCGACCACCTAATGACATACAGTGGTTGGTGTGCATGTCCCTACTAATGTCAAATTAAAGTTCTTAAAATACTTTAATTTAATTAAGATGGTATTATAGTATTAGTATTGTAGTAATAATAGGATGATGAAGGTATATCATTGATAATGGTTGTATCAATCTTTCGGCCCCTGACTGAAATGAGAAAATGAGACTGAACTTTAGGCAAGGCAAGTTTATTTGTATAGCACAATTCATACACAAGGCAACTCAAAGTGCTGAACAAGATAGCATTAAAATCATAAATAATTACAGAACATTAAAACGAAAGATAAAAATATAAAATCCCTCAGTTGTATGCACAGCTAAACAGCACCGTTTTTAACCTGGTTTTAAACATTGTCAGAGAGGAGGCCTGTCTCACATCTTCAGGAAGATTGTTCCAGATTTTAGCAGCATGAATCTGAAAAGCAGCCTCCCCATGTTTAGTTCTGACTCTGGGCACTAACAGGAGTCCAGTCCCTGTGCTCCTCAGAGTCCGGGCTGGTTCATATGGGACTAACATGTCACTAATATATTTTGGTGCGAGGCCATGGAGAGACTTGTACACAAGCAGAGCTGTTTTAAAGTCTATTCTCTGAGCCACAGGAAGCCAGTGCAGAGACCTGAGGACTGGACTAATGTGGTCGTACTTCCTGGTTCTAGTCAGGACTCGAGCTGCTGCATTTTGAATGTACTGCAGCTGTTTTACAGCCTGTTTGGACAGACCTGTGAGCAGGCCATTGCAGTAGTCTAACCTACTGGAGACAAATGCATGGATAAGAATCTCCAGGTCTGCTTTAGACACTATGTTTTTGATCCTGGCAATGTTTTTTAGATGGTAAAAAGCTGCTGATGTTACTGATTTGATGTGGCTATTAAAATTTAAGTCTGAGTCCAGTATTACCCCTAGATTTCTGACCTTGTTTGAAGGTTTTAGGGAGAGAGACTGTAGATGACAGATGACGCTCTCTCTTTGTTTCTGGGGACCAAAGACAATCATTTCAGTTTTGTCTGCGTTTAGCTGAAGGAAGTTGTTTTGCATCCACTCACTGATCTGTTGGATACAGTGAAGGAGTGAGTCCACTGGTCCATGTTCTCCTGCAGTCAGTGAGACATAGATCTGAGTGTCGTCTGCATAGTTATGATAGGAAACTTTGTTTCTGCGTATTAACTGACCTAACGGCAGCATGTAGAGATTGAACAGAAGAGGTCCCAGGATCGACCCCTGTGGGACTCCACAGGTCAGGGCCATATGATCTGAGACACAGTTTCCAATCTCCACAAAGTATTTCCTGTCTTCAAGGTAAGACCTAAACCAACTTAGGGCGGTGCCAGCGACGCCAACCCAGTCCTCTAGTCTCTGTAAGAGGATCTCATGGTCGACAGTGTCAAAGGCAGCACTTAGATCTAACAGGATTAGGATTGAGACTTTGCCTGCGTCAGTGTTCAGCCGGATATCATTTGTAACCTTGACGAGAGCAGTCTCAGTGCTGTGGTGGGGTCTAAAGCCGGACTGAAACATATCAAATGAGTTGTTGATTATAAGAAATCTAGTAAGCTGTAGGTAGACAACTTTTTCAAGGACTTTCCCCATAAATGGCAGATTTGAGATGGGACGATAGTTGTTAAGTACCGTAGCATCCAGACTGCTCTTTTTTAGCAGGGGCCTGATGACTGCAGTTTTCAGGTCCTTTGGGAATATTCCAGAATCAAGGGATATGTTTACTATCTGTGTGAGTGAAGGTAACAGACTGCTCAGAACAGACTTTAGAAATATAGTGGGTAGTACATCCAGGCTGCATGTGGAGGAGCTCAAACTGGAGATTATCTCTTGGACAGTTTGATCATTTACAGGTGCAAAGTGAGTTAGCTCAAAGAGCCTTTCTGGCTGTTGGATGGTTATCTGTGGATTGGAGACAATGGCGTTTTTGATGCCTTGAACCTTGTCATTGAAAAAATGTGCAAACTCATTACATTTACGTTTGGAAGTTAGCTCTAATGGCATTTGAACAGGGGGGTTTGTTAATCTATTAACTGTTGAAAACAGAACACGCAGATTGTTGCTGCAGCCTTCAATCATTTCAGAAAAATACCTTTCTCTCGTACTACGTAGCACCTGGTTAAACTCGCACAACTTATCTTTGAAGATCTTGTAATCAACCTGGAGGTTGGACTTGCGCCACTTCCGCTCGGCCCTCCGGCACTCTCTTTTGTGCCCTGACCGAGTCTGCTTTAGCCCACGGCGCCTTCTGCTTATTTTTCACTATTTTAACCTTCACAGGAGCGATGGTGTCCAGAACTTTCAAAACACTAGAGGTGACAGAGTTAAACAGTTCATCTACAGTAGAATACGATGCATTCTCAAAGTTTATCATTCCCATAAATAGTTCACCCGTATTTTCATTTATAGTGCAACTTGTATAAAGTCCTGTCTAATTGCGTGGTGTGTGTGTGTGTGTGTGTGTGTGTGTGTGTGTGTGTGTGTGTGTGTGTTTGCATGTGCTTTGACATCCTTCAGAGAAGGATGTCAAAGTGATAACACAGTTGGAGCAGGCTAACAAAGCCTTGTCCAAAGAGCTGGAGGAGGTGAAGGACTCGCTGAGCCAAGCTAAAGATGCTCTGAAGTCTTCCGAGGAACAGAAGCGGGTGTATCACACTCACATGAGCAAAACCTCCACCACCCTGCTCTCCACAGCGAAGGAGCTGCTGACCGTGCTCAAGAAGGTCTGTGTCTCTAGCTCTGGATCTGCTCCACCCTTCTTACTGTCACCTCATAATAGATGTTTGCGTTTTTGGCAGGATCAGGACCTGGAGGAGGCTGACAAACTGTCAACTGAGCTTCAAAACGGCTCCAAACACGAAAGCTAACTACCACCTCTATCGCTATTGTAAATAGTCTCTTCTCTGGACCTACTGACCCTTTCTTTATGAAATGTTCTGTGATTGTAGATTTTATTTTTTGCTTTGGGCCTAGGAAGATCCTTCACTAGCTAATTGTCATAGGACAAAATGTTGAATATAGCTGTCATTTCAAACTATATTCGTTGCTAATTACATAATATTTCAGTAAAGCTATAATTAGACAGGTAAGGGATCACATGGGGTCTGTCAGAACTTGCTTCTTATCTGAACCACATGGTTCCTGAGTGTCTGGACTTGTGACATCTCAATCAAAAACGTTGAACAATAAGCTCCTTGAATGTGCGCCTCCTGAGAAAAGAGTAATGGTAGCAGATATTTTGAAGTCTATACATTTCAAGGTCAATAGGACTTTTGAAAGACTCCATTCAAATGTGCTACTAGCAAGTGAGTTTTATTTTTCTATTTAAAATGTAAAGCCTATGTGAAGTAAAGTGAATACTTTGAACACTATTGACTTTGACTTTCTTATTTAAAAAAAATCATTTGTTTGCCGTTAGATATACATGCACTTATAGAAGTCACTACTGAAGTAGTAGCCATAGTTTGAGATGACTCCTTGTTCTGCTAGAGGGCAGCAGCGTACAGTTTTACTCCTTACATAGATGTTAGACTTTTCAAAGGTTTGTGAACCGGTTGTGTACTTAAAAGTGCACTATGACTTTTCCTTTTGTCCAAGATGTCATTGCTTTGGCCTTTACTTTCAGGACAGCTCTCGATACTGTGTACAAAAGTATATGGTAGATGGATACAGCTAATCCCAAAATGCTTAAAAGGAAAATACAAACCCCCCTACTAAAGTCCTCTCTCTTGTTTAAACTGAAATGTTTTACAGGCTCAGACCTAATGTGCATGTAACGAGTTTAAACTGTCCCCCGGAGGCACCTCTGCATACAGCAGCATTTGCTCCTGGCTCTCGGTGCAACTACAAAAACTCCTTGGATCTTTTGACCTTTTTGAAGCTTTCATAACAAATACCATATCTTTTGAACCATCTTTTACACCAGGTACCACAGTGTCTTGAGCAAATGAAAAGTGATGAATTTCTAATCCTTTTTAAATTGAATTCTCGCTGATCATGCATAACTACCCTAGTGGTTCCAAGAAAGAATTCAAAAAACGTAATTTCACCAATTTGAGACAACTTTTATTTTGGATCAAATAACTGCAACTCTTACAACTGCACTGAACTACCATGTTTGCCACTCAAAACTAGTTTTTCATTTGGAGCATAAAAAGACAAATAGAAGCTGGTCTGGGGCTACACGTATAAATGTCATTCTTTATTGCTTAGTTTTGTTTAAGTCAATTTGAATTAAACAAATGTATGTAATACAGTTTGAAGAACCCACCCCAGTGTCGGACAACTTTCAACTAAGAAATGAGTGGCCCGTTTTTCAACACATCACTTTTTACTTTACTTAATGTGTATTGATCAAACACAAGGATTCAAATTATACACATGCATATGGTTTAAAGTCACAAATGGCAAAAACACTCATAGTAGTCATCTTACTTTTCTCAGACCAACACAAAAACAATGTACTTGATTAAACCATGCGCTTGTTTTTTTCCAGCCCTATTAACATGAACACGGACAAAAGCCTGCTTTTCCCACAGCTGTAACTGCTCCATCTGCAACCTGCTTATATCACGTCCTATTCCACCATGCTATAAATGTGTGTAAATTACTTTTTTCTCCCACCTCAGCTGTAGTTATCTGCAGTTCATCCAGAGTGATCATGGGCCTCTTGGCTGCATCTCTGATCAGTCTTCTCCTTGTTTGAGATGAAAGTTTGGAGGGATTCGTAGATTTGCAGTGGTCTGATACTCCTTCCATTTCAATAGAATTGCTTGCACATCCTTGAGATGTTTAAAGCTTGGAAAATATTTTTGTACCCAAATTCGGCTTTAAACGTCTCCACAACAGTATCTCGGACCTGCCTGGTGTGTTCCTTTGTCTTCATGGTTCTCTCTGCGCTTTAAACAGAACCCTGAGACTATCAAAGAGCAGGTGCATTTATATGGAGACTTGATTACACACAGGTGCATTCTATTTATCATCATCAGTCATTTAGGACGACATTGGATCATTCAAAGATCCTCACTGAACTTCTGGAGTGAGTTTGCTGCACTGAAAGCAAGGGGGTCGAATAATATTGCACGCCCCACTTTTCAGTTTTGTATTTGTTAAAAAAGTTTAAATTATCCAATGAATTTTGTCCCACCTCACGATTGTGTTCCACTTGTTGATTTATGACAAAATAATTTTTTTATATCTTTGTTTGAAGCCTGAAATGTGGCAAAATGTTGAAAGGTTCAACATACTACAGGATACTTTCGCGAGGCACTGTATGTGCCTCAGTGTTTTGCCAGTGAGGTGGCTCATGTTGGGCCCTGAATGTTCATTTTTGTCTCCTGGGAGACACTGTGCAGGCCTGGCTGTTGGGTGTTCGGGCTGAGTCTCCATGTGCTCTGGTTGTTTGGTGAAAGAGGAGAGGTGTCCAGGTAAATATTAGTTATGTAAAGTCTGTAGTTGTCACCAGAACTCGACTGTGTTCACGCTGGAAGGAGAAAATGTGTGTAAATGACTTCTGCTAGTGTTGTCAAAAAGTTAAAGGCACACCGTGTAACTCTTGGCCACTAGGGGCGCTAGACCTGCAACTTTCACGTTTAGCGCCCCTAGTGGCCACAAGCAACTCAGCACTGTCGCAAAAGTCAACAAACAGTCAGCCGGTGTCTTTTGAGTGTGTATTCAGACAGCATGCACTGGTGTGTGTGTTCAAACTGTAGAGACATGCCTACAGATATTGAGAGACTCTGCTGTGGTCAGCCTCCAGACCGCTGCATTAGTAATCTACCACACATGGACTTCTATATCCTGGATGAGGGAGTTCTGCGTCTAGCTCGTGCTGCGTGGAATGACATCTTTGCAGTAGATGACATCCAGGAACCAGGTGAACAGCAGCGCTCATACAGACATGCAGCTTACAGCACGATCCCTTTCGCGTTTCCTCTTTTTAGCCTCCTCCGAAGGTTTAAAATTTTTCCTTGCCTCAGCCATGACCAGGAGTCGAGTAGGTGAAAAATGAGTAGCAAAAGCCTTAGCTCCATGAGTATATCAGCGCCTGTAGCCGTAAAGCAAGTCTTTCTTCCAAGTCACGTGACCTGGTGGCAGACGGTCCGTCTGCTCGAAACTTACATGGGCGGTATTTCAAGAGGGCAGCCCCGCTCGGAGCATTGCAAGTGTCAAGCGCTGTATATTGGCCCAAGTATTCATATAAAATAACTCATATGTGTCAACTCTTTAGGTCACAAAGTCCGCGGTGTGCCTTTAAGGACACTGCGGGCTGATAAAAAGCAGTTACTTAAACGCGCTGTAAAAACACAAACTACCAATAGTCTTGATGATCCACTCGGAAGTTCGGAAGAAGAAAATCCTATCTACCTTTTTTAACCCTTAGATGCATAAGTGGGTCAAAAATGACCCGGTGAGGTTGTTTTCTTGAAATATCTTAAATGAAAAATTGTCATAATTACATAGTCCAGGTATTTCTCAAACATGTTTTTATATAATTCTATTTACATGTTTAACTTGATTCTTATCAACTGTGGCTGTCAAAAATAAATCAACTGTGAATTACACGGACAAAACGAGAAGTGTCACTCCTCGGAAAGATTGTTTTACACAGCAAGAGCTAACACTTAGTAAGAATTACATGCCAAGCAAGCCCGCCAAGTACAGACTAGGGATCTTCTGGGTTTGTGATGCACGCATCCCCTATGCAATAGATGGAAAATGTGAAAAGCATTTGTGCATGCGTTAGCCGTCACCAGCCCTATTCATTCGACCTCCCCCATTCATTTGAGTGCCTTCTGAAGTCCACAGCAGCTAAACTAAAGTGGTCCAATAAACATAATCCCCTCAGCTTTGACAATATCTGGAGCGTAGCTTTGGACCAATAGAGCTGACTTTCGGACCATCATCAGATTCAGATTCATTTATTTTTTTTCGCCATTTGCAGTATGTATACACCACATTGGAATGCATTTGTAAAAGTTCCCCGTGTGCACAGGACAAGTACAGACACAAAACAACATTAAAAGACAAAAATAAAACAAATTTTAAAAACAGTAAACAAATGTCACAACAAATGTCACCGTGGAAGTTGACCAACTTAAAACAGATCTATACGAGTGCAAAACATTAAAGTGCTCTATTCAAACTGTTAACAGCTCGTGGAAAAAAACTGTTAGCATGACGAGATGTCCTGCATCTCAGAGAACAGTATCTTCTGCCAGAGGGAAGAAGCTGGAACAAGGCTTTTCCTGGGTGGCCAGAAGAGTCTCTGATAATTCTCAGGGCACTGTTAAAAAGTCTGGATTGATAAAGAACCTCCAGAACAGGAAGTTCACAGCCCACGGTCCTCTTTGCAGAGCGGAGCACCTTGTTTAAAGCTCTCTTTTCTTTATCTGTGATGTTACCGAACCACACAGACACAGAACCAACAAGCAAACTCTCAATGGTGCAGCGATAAAAGTTCAGCAGAATCTTAGAGTTAGTGGTAAATTCTCTAAGTTTCCGCAGGAAGTAGAGACGCTGACGAGCTTTCTTTACGACTCGGTCAGTGTTTTTAACCCATTTCAGGTCATCAGACAGAGTTAGACCCAGAAACTTACACTCCTCTACAATCTGCACTTGGGAGTTATCGATTGCGACAGGCAAATGACAACTGTTGCGACTGAAATCAAAGACCAGTTCGCATGTTTTGGATGCGTTCAGCTGGAGGTTGTTAGCCTTACTCCACTGAACCACATTTTGGATCTCGGCTCTATAAGAGGATTCATCGTTATTACTGATGAGACCGATGATGGTGGTGTCATCAGCATATTTGATGATCAAGTTAGAGTCTGAGGAAGACACACAATCATGAGTGTACAGTGTAAAC